TATTGGTTCGATCATGTTCCTCTATAAGTAACCTAAGAAAGCTTACCTACAGCTATGCCTCAAGTTCATATTTCCATCCCAGCTATTTCTACTTCAATAATATAGTATACTAATTACAATTATAATTTTCTACGAGCAACTTGTATATTAAACAGAAAAGAAGGTTTTATTGAAGTATTATGGAGAGAACGATTTTGCTGAAGTATTCAAAAATTTAATTAGATACACGGAAGAAAAAGATTAGCTGCCACAGCTAAAAATTAGGTATGACAGCTAAATTCAGTAGCATTATATGAACACTTAACGTGGTATCTAAGATGTATCTAATTTCCATTAGCTGTGAAGCCTAAATATTATTATAACAGACAAGCATTTTGCTATTATGTCGATGTATTGATCATTGCAGCAAACGTTTTCTGTGTAACAGAAAATTTGGTAGCAAATACAGTTTCAGCAAATCATATTTAACTGTGGTAGAGACAATTTTCTTTTATACGGACATATCCGATAATTGTGATAACTAACTTCATATTGCTAAATAAATGGATCTGTAACAGACATGCATATTTTGCTATTACGTCCTTATATTAGCTATAGCAGCAAATCTTTTATATGTATTAACAAATTCATAGCTACAGTAGCTAATACAATTTCAGCTAATCAGAATTAGCTGTAAACCAGAAACATTTTTTTTCCGTGCACAAATCAGAAAATAATTTTGTTGAACCATCAAAGTAATTGTATAAGATGCTTAAACTGATTGCTACAATTTTAAAACTTTTAACGGCAGTATCTATAAGTTAAATTTTTAAATTCAACAAAATGTAATAATTCAAATATTTCTTCAACCGTGCGTTCATCGTAGGCAGGTATGTGCGTGCGTATCGATCATTTCACGTTTAAATTAGCTAATCGTTTGATAACTCGCGTGTGCACTTAGATGCTTAATAGTAATGGCCATTAGTGTAAAACCGACGGTCGCTCATCATTAGTGTTAGGTCGCTATGAACTGCAAGAGGAAAACCACAATCAATGCTAAACAAACAATATCGGGTCGACCACTTTCTGGGTGACTCTATATATCCTACGTACATAGATCTATATACTAGCTCTTTCAATCTGAAAATGTAAGAGCAGTATTTAAATAAAAGCTTACATAATGCACTTTATGACATAACATTTTAAAATGATAAATGACTCGGAAAACAATAAATCTTTCTGTAATCTTTATGTAATAAATATTTTTACTTAAATAATAAAATGGAAGATTTTATACAAAACATATAATTATTGAGAATAACTCAATGTTTACTCAAAATTATCTTTCAAAATTTACTTATTTGAATAATTAATCTCATTAGACAACATTAGGTAATTGTACTCAAATTTTGGATATCAAACAAACAGACGATAGATGCATAAGATTAATAAAATTAACACAATACTTTTTTCCTTCGCTAGCGTCATACGTTTCGTGTTATTAAACACATATTTAGTCAGAGCCGATTAATCGAAGCCATGTTTTATGTAATTATCAAGGGCGAATGTCTGCGCAAGTGCTAGGTCTAATGGCAGGCTTTAAAGTTCCGCACACCCGATACGTGTTCTTGTTATCCCACATCGCCTGCATCCTCCTAATTCCATTTGGTCGATAGTGTCCACTTGGGGAAATTTCGGGCACGCTCTTGATGTTTCCTGCGACTGATTGGATAGTCATGACGCACGTATCACTCCAGCGATATTGAGCTATTGACCACCTTTCATACAAGAAGCATATTCTCGCGATACTCCTCTTACTATTCGTTTTTCTCTTCGTTATTCGAAACACTTGAATTTCTTATGTTTGTTTTCTAAATGGAAAAAATAAAAAACTAATTGTTGTAGAGTAGCATCTGATCAAAATTAATTTCGTAAAAACCTTATTAATTTCTACATGCTTAATACAATTGTTCCAGAACTCAAACAACTGTTATTTTTAAAGTCTAATTTTTCATTCTTATTTCACGTTAAAAAAATCTAACAAGAATAAAACATTCCACACTAATGGTTCTGGGGGAAGATTTTGAATAAAAGATGTAGAAATAAACGTAAAGGAGTATTACAACATAATATGTTTATAATACAATCGTATATTCTCATGCATAGCAAAAAGAAACGGCTATATATAAATTTTTCCTTCTTCTTTACCGTATCAAATATTTGTTTCGCCTTGTATAACGTATCCGGTATTAAATCACAACTAGAAATCGGATGAATTACGTGTGCAATGTTTATTTTAACGCATCATATTCAAACAAGCGTCCAAAGGTTTGTGGTTCACAATATCTAAAGAGCGAATCAACGATCCATGATGAAATTCAATACATCAAACGTGTTTATGCCACCAGCTTTCTTCTCAATGCCCGTCACATTGAATCCTATACTAACATGATACATTAATTTCCACGTTTATCAATTATCATTTTAGCTCTTAATAGATATTATTTTGAGAGATGAGTAAGAGAGTTATGAAAGCACACATTCGAATAAAAGTATTTTTCTTATTCTTTACATATTTTTTCTTAATTTATAAATCGATAAATTTTCCTTAGATGCAAAAAATACAATATTTCCTCTCATCTTTATTTATAAAATATATTTTACCTGAAAAGAAAAAAAACTAAATAGCTATATCTCGCGATATTTTTTTCGAACTCCGCGTTGATGAAAGGTAAAGGTTTTAAGGTAGAGTGTAATTTAATTTGAAATCTTATCCGTTTTATTCCAATTCTCACAGATCTTAGAATTGAAAAACAGCGCGTTCTACATTCGATTTTCTCTCTATATATTTCTGATTCATTTAAACATATTCGATTCATACCTATTTGTATACACTGTAATTGTATTGATACATACACATAATTTAAAAATTAAAAATAAATTCATTGACAAAAAGTCTTTAGAAAGAAAAGTTCAAAAAGAACTAAGAAAACGATAGAAAAAGAATTATGAATATTTTTTAAAAATTATTAAAATCATGCTTATTAACACATAAAAAAATTGTTAAATTGCTTGTATAATTTGATAAGTAATATGACCTACTATACCGGTACTGCTCATGAATACGTTTCAAGACCAAAAAAGAATTCGACGCGCGGTACGCAGAATATATATAAATTCACACGGAAGTATGTATTTAAGCATTAAGCATTCGCTTCAATTAAATTTCTCTCGTATTTAATCAGAAAAAATAGTTCAATAGTTGGTTCCAGATCTGGATGTCGAGCTCCACGGGCAATTAGGTATGTCAAAAACGCAGAGTAAACCAATCCGAATTACTGGTAACATTTAATCTGATATAGCACATGAATAGCGAGCAGATAAAGTCTCCTCATTCTCGAGATTACCTACCATCGCGTAGCCAATCGAAGATCTTCTCGTGCCATTCTCTACGAGCACAATAACCGCACGAGTTCCATTGAATCGAGCGCACCAATCGATATATGAACGCGCGCTCCACATTTTAATATTTACCAAGAAAAAGCCTATAATCGAAGATCGTTAATACAATATTCGATGTAAGTTTCTTTAATTTTGTCTAAGAAAAAAAGGTCTGAATGAAAAGATCTGATGCGTAGAGTTAGCATTCTAAAAGGAATTATTTATTAAATAAAAACAAATTTCTTTAGACTTGTTAAGTGATCGAATTGTAATAAATGCAAATTATCTCAAAACTCGAGATAGATTTATCGCTACTTAATTATTTAGTTGCTAGCATTTTCGTGCCACACAATGTGCATAATGTATTAATAACTTTTCCTCTTTTCTCGGAACGAATGTTCTCAGTGGCTGAAACTAGACGTAACTTTCGCAACTGTAATATACTATTAAATTGAGTGAACAACAAAGTCAGGCGAGTAAACGCGATTTGACGTCGACGTCGATATGTGACAGATGTAAGTTTCATTGCATATGTGTACACATGACACTACAACATAACGCGTAACATTGAGAAATGTGTCAGTCCGATGCAATGAAACTGTAAATCAAACACATATAGGGCCAGGAAAGAAAGTTTGTCCACCAACTACAGCAAACTCTCGCAGCAACAGACAGTAGACATACGTTTCGAATTAAATGTATAATGTAGAGAATGATAATTGAAAAATTTCGTAAATAATACTTATATATAAAGCTTAACACTATCGTAAATAGATACGAATATAATTTTCCGTTAATACACACCGTCTGCTCATAATTTATAATTGCGGAACCATATTTATCCATAGTGCAGAAATGTCATAGGAGAAATATGTTACGTCAAGTGTAAAATACTTAATGTTATTAATACATAACGTAACGAGAATAATGCATGAATTACACGCACATATACACGCGAGCTGCCGTCGAGTTAATTGCGATCATAGAGAGAAGCGCCATTAATTAATCGCGAAATTTAACGCATTCTATCGATATAACCATAACAGAATATTTAATTAAATCGGCAATTAGCTACTTAAAGCGTTGTTTACACTGCACGACACGATACGTACATCAGTGACATATATAATTAGTGATACGGAGCACTCTTAAAACTCAATGTCTGCGCAACGAAACAATAATTGCGCATCGTGTGGATAATAATCAACGCGTTTAATAGAGATAACAAATGAGTAACAATTGAATATGACTATTTTATACTGAGAACAATGCATAACGGACTTCATACCAGAGAACCATCTAATCATGTTTGAGTGCTACTGGATTATTACTCAACTGTAATCTTCGTTGAATGCGCATGTTGAGTTTGATTGATTGATACTGGCATAGCAAATCTCTGTTACAACAATCTCTGTCAAACTCAAGATAGTAATAGTTATTCTCGTTACATATCGTGTAAAACGTGCGGCATAAACATTCTAATAACGTTAGAAGGATCAAGATGAAACATATTAATAAGACCCTATTTTGACACGTTTAACGTAAATCGGAAAACCTACGAAACTGGATTAACGACTGACCGTTCTCGGACGTGACGACCCTCCTCATCGTCCTCTTCCTCGATGTCGTGTAGACGCGGGCTAAGCCGATGCTGAGTACTGCCTTCCCTACCGTAATCTTCTTCTTCACCTATCCTTAGCTCACACTCCTTTTCTTCGTCGTCAAAGTCATCGAGGTCTTCGTCGAGATCACCGAGTGGCGCACGTTCTTTAAACTGAGCCACGCAAAGGCGTTTTGGTGGTTGATATTGTTTCTCCTGTTGCAGAACTTTCTGCTGTTGGTGCTCGTGTTGTTGTTGGCTTCTTTGTTGCTGGTGGGGCTGTTGATACTGCTGATGCTTCAGCAAGGAACCCTTCTTGGTCTCAGGGGTGGCCCCCGAGACACCAACACCACCCCCACCCCCGCCGCCGCCGGCGCACGGCAGGCAGCAAGACCACGCGCCCCCCACCTCGGCACCCTAGCGCACTCAATATCAAAACATCCAGAGGGGCCAGCTGCAGCCAGGGTGTTCCGTTCCAAGTCCCAGCAGAGACAGCGTCCGCGATGCTGAGCAACGTGCTCGCTGGGGATTTAACAGTCCCCAGACTCGAGCGAGTGAATTATCGCTTAAATCGAGTATCGCGATATATACGATGGTACTCGATGCTATTTTCTTTGTTGACTCTTCATGCTACTACTCGAGACGACAAAATGCGGTTTTGGCATGAGTACAGTCCTTGAGTGCCCTTTGCTCTGGGGAAGGCCGGTTGAATGTCACCGTCTCTCGGCAACTTCTAGCACAATTCTGTCGCTTGAGGTGCTTTGAAAGTTCTTAACATCCATATAAATGAGCAACGAACAGTCGTCTCGCGGAACTCAAACTGTTGATTTAATTTTTTTCAGGAAATTCAACTGTTCCGTTGCTTCGTGCTTACACTCGTCGACGTAACGCCTCGCGAGCTGCATGATTTTTTTATTTTCTCAGGGCTCCGTCTAGCGTATTGTGCAAATTTCACATATTTTTTTCTCTCAAGTCACTCTTGTAAGCTACGCAAACTTTTCTATGGCGGTAATTTAAATATGCAGAAAAGATTGTCTCTTTGCAAGGCTTTCGTTTATTATTATAAACGGATTAGCAATGTATCTCATCTCAATAAAAGTTATTCTTTACTGGCTTTGCTTATATGGCTGGGATACGTTTCATAAAACTGTAATCTGCAATGTTTGAATTAGGTGATTTTCGGAGTTTCAAATGTATCTCTTTTTTCTCTGTTAAAATTAACGGAAATAAGGAAGCATTTTTTCTTTCTCATCATCATTAATATATTAAATCTTTCGATAGAATCTCAACATTAAAAATGTATAACATTATTCTGTCCTTTTTTTTAATTTATTCTATCTCATGCAGTGGAACGTTTTAATTTAACGATCGTCAGGAAATTGTCTTTCGCGTCTGAATATGCTCACACAACGAATATCAAACGATAGATCAACTGAATATCGAACAGCCAGCAGAATTTCCATCGTGACACATTTAGCATGGTACCACATTAAATTAGTGATTCATATTCAAGCCACGTTCGCCATCATTTTTAGGTCGTTTTGATACATGGATTTGCCATTTAAATATCATGATAAATTCCCTGTCACACTTTGTTATCTCTGAAAATTAAGAACATACAATCTCAAAAATCATCCATCATTGCTTTTGGAATTCCATACCTTCTTTTTAAAGCACTCGACTTCTTGTTCTTTATATCGACACGATATACACGCATTATTATTATTATTAGCAAATCAATTATGGGTAAACGATATCTTCAAATATTGAAGGATCTCTCAATCTTTCGTTTTTCAAACAAACACTCAGATTTTTAAATCATATCCTTACTCTTGATGTTAATTCTTTCGCAGAGTCCATTATTATACAACACCATCACGTAGCAGTAACATATTTACTAATGAAATAATTAATGGAGCAAGTTACCCTTTATCTCAAGGCTTCCTTTGATGTTGCATCGTCTTTCGTGTCACTCTTTCCCTTTGTCCTCTTGCCCACATGATTAAATCCATCTGCAGCTTTTCCATCTGTCTTTAAATAAAAGCAAAATCCTGAACATCATCTAAAGTGAGATAACTACTGGCACAATTTCTTTATTCTAAGAAATATTTAATGGAAAATATCTTCTCTTAAATCTTTACGTTTATCTCGCAAATTAAAAACTTCATCATTGTTCTCTTGACATTTTCGATTTACGCTCATGTGACCTGTCCTTGAATCCTGTCAGTATTATCGCGTCTTACAAAGTCCCGTTTAGTCACAAGAGCACTAATATCTCCTTTAGTCGACACTTACACTGAGTCGCCCCAAACACCATAAAATGTTATTAAAGCGCGACATCCTTGTGTAAGTTATTCTTACAACATAAAAAATTTAAAATGAACTTGCCATTCTCTGACTTGCACTCGAGTTTCCATCTTATTTTCCCGTTCTCGTCATATTCACGCATTTCCTCCTGGCTCTTCACGGCCCAAACTAACCAGCCATTATGAGGTAAACTGAACATGTGGAGTTTTGTCGTCGTCGTTGTTGCTGACGACGAGCCCACTTGTACCTTTTAATTTATTTCGTGCTCGTCAGGACACTCGGTACGCGGTTTAGGAAACTTTAAGACAACAAACCGCAACTAAGCTAGATATATCTATGCGTCCCTTTGCACCTTCTTGTTTGTAGTACAGTTTACTGTCAATGGTGCTTACCGTTTGCTCGAGCTGCTTCATCGTCAAGTCACTTGTTTTCACGGATAATAGAATCTACATATTATTACTTGTTGAATCTATTCTGTTATTATCGATTGTAGTGACGTATAAAACTATGTTATCAACGATTTTGCATGTCGACATTTTCTCATATTTTTATTTCAACGTCTTGCTGTCGTAGTTTCTGTAGTATGTATCGAACGGATATTATCATGCTGTAGAAAATAGCGCTGAGATGGCGAGTCGATTAGAAGAAATTTTAATTAATTCTTATTTCCGAACAGTGGGCATTTGATTACAAAATTAATTATAATAGTTTGTTTATAGATATGTCACGTCTATTCCGAACACATTTTACCACATTTCGCTTCTAGTTAACCATACGCGTTAATCATATGTTTCAATCACTCCTCATGTTAACCCACTTTTATCCACAACGGTAATTAATAATATGTAAAATTAACATTGCGAAAGGTCGTAGCAGTTTCAGTCTATAATCAGAGAATACGCGCAATTTGTTATGACACGCGATCGTCGAATCGAACGCACTTTTACGCACGAAATTCCCATTTTGGCACAATGCTTAAGTTATAAGTCTAAATTACACGAACAAAATCACTCGAGGACACGAACGAGTTCTATTATTGTCGTTTCTTACGCTTAATCGTGCATTATGATCGGACGACACAAATGAGTTTTCGATTTGCACTCTCCGAATAACTCATTACAATAACGATTCACGATTACATCCATTTACTCGTGGAATTATTCTTTAGACTGGAATACGTTCCGGTTTTTTTTTAAATTTCTGTTTATAAATAGAGTTTCATACGAATGCGTTTGACGTATCGCGTAATTTTCTATAACGATGAATGACGCTCTTGATGACGATGACGATACAGAAGCCAGACCAGAACACGAAATTGATTGTCGACCGTTGAAAAGGTTGCGCTCGGATAAGTCTCGTAGAATAATTAGATATTGGACCAACGTTCTGTAAAATTTCGTGTGTAAGATTCACGATATGCTCAGAGAAAGAACTCTCATTTTATAATGGCAATAACAGTTACTTCGCTACAACCGAGAAGAGAGATACATGCAAAAGCAAGAAATTATGTATCGTAACAATATCGATACGTATAATACAGTGCCACATATTGACGATGGTCGTATTAAAATATTAACGTATAACGTATTGTCTTAAATAACGAAATCAAATACACGTATTGCGTTACACTATTACTTTGCATTTCTTCATTACGCTACTCAATCTTAAATAAAGTACAATCAGAGGATCAAATCGTTATAATTAAGAGGCTGTATCACGCGCGTGCATTTAATCTCAATAATGGTACTTTATTTTAGCAAGGGTTTTCTTTGGCGCAGGAAGCGCTAGGTCATAAATTAAATGCAAAGGTTAAGGCTGCAAGCTCTGAAGGCTATGCAGAACGAAAAGACGAGCACGCAACGCATAACCCTATCACATTTCTAGAGGTGAATCTATGGTTTCAGAGCGAGAAATACGTTTTATTTTACTAATAAATCAATGAACGACAAACGTACTTATTATGACGATGATGTTATTTTTAGTTATTGGTTGTATGATATTTATGTTCTGTAATAATTGATTACTGACAACAATAAGAAGATTCACGAGATTATTTCAATGCAACAAACGGTGTCTAATTTTTATTTCAATACATTCGTTACGTATAGCATCAGAGATCTAATATTCTTTGAAATCTTCTATTTATTCCTCTTATTGCACACGTAAGCTTTTGTTAGCGATTATTAAATCGTCAAATTTAGACTTTCAACAAGAAACAAGCATTAAAAAATCATCAACAAGTAGGTAATATCATTCTGTAATTACACTAAGCTTTATCCTACACGTATAAGCTAAATAAACGAAATCAATCACTACAAGCAATTCGTTTTAATGTCGTTAAACATTTTCTTTCAACTAAACTTTCATCCTATACATTACACTGTAACATAATAGAGTTTGTAGAACGATTGTAGAAGGATTAGTGTCGAACAGGAGAGGTTCAAATGGAATACGTTCATACATGGGGAACACGACGAATGAAGGACATTAGTAATTTAAAGGTCAGTAATTATAACCACGCGGAATATCCCAGAAACTATAGCTGCCAGCGATTGCAACATAATTCGATGCTAAATCAGTGAATCGAACATATAGTCATATATTGATATTGCAGGAATATAAATGAAAGTAAATGAAAGTTTATAGGTACTTTATAATAAATTAATATCGCCCATTCCATTATCCATTCATCTTTAAAACGAAAATGCTATATTAGCATTGAGACATTCGATAGAATCTTTAATTAAACATCAACTACTATTGCACAAGTATTCTATACTAATAATAAATATGTATTAAATAAATCCACAACATAATTACGAAACAAACAACAAACGAGAAAGAGAATTGAAAAACCAATAACGAGTCGATAGTCGATAACGAAAATTGAACCGTAGACTACTAGGGACAAAAGCGTCTTCAGAGATTGTAAATTACATTCCTCTCTTGAGACTATATATCGCCGTGCAGCTATATCGAGCAGGATAATATGGAAATAGCTGACGTAAACTAAATGGTAAACTACTCGTTTAAATTACAAGATAATTAGGAAGTGGAACAAACGAAAATTACAAAACAATGGCCATTTCATCGAATAACCGAGATTAAAATCGCTATTGGCTTCACGCTTCATTAATCTAAAACATGAGAACCCAAAAACATTTCTTTCCACACTTTATTAAATATAGTGAATTATAAAATCTCACCTTACTTATCTTAATTGAATTCAAATTATATCCTATACACATTTCTATTTATACGAATAAGACGACCATAGAAATACATAGGTAATCATAAAGAGTAATATTAGTAATAATTTGTTAATTTCCTTTTACTTTTCTTTTGCCATGCCATTATAATTTTTATCTCTAATGCCAGAGTTTGTTAAAAAAGTTTCAGCTCGTTCAAAATTCGAGACAGTTTCCTACTGGTATCTCTAAATAAGAAAAGTGAGCGAGTTTAAGCGACCACAAGTAATCAAGCACAGCAGGATTACCACCCCCGCCGAGGATTTTAATATTTTCCTGCAATCTACCAGAATTTTTGCCAAACCATTAAGTCATAAAATTACTTGAGGAGAGTAAAGCGGACAAACCTAAAACTTAAAATTAAAAGTACTGAAATGTTATAAATTCGTTGCGTTTCATGAAAGATATATATTTTTCCGCTGATCAATAGTTTCTCGTATATCTACACGTAATTCATCGCAATAGATATTTTGAAAACACATAATTAATCATATTACATGTATATGCATTACATTTACAATAAATATTATTACTGAATAATGCTCTAATAAATTCGGAACCATCTACGTAAATTACGATGGGATGCAAAATTTTATAAAACTTAAATAAAATATGAATTAAAATGTATTGCATATAAAATGTAATACCAGCCCTCGTGTAATAGTTTGAGAAAGATTAACAAATTGCACAATGTGATACGATCTATATTATACTATATTATAATATTATATTATAATATAGTGTATTATATTATATTATAAAAATATGCAATATTTGATTTCTATATTTTTTTAATTTATTGGGAATCATGTCCTCAAATAAAACTTGAATGAATTGTTATTTTCATGTAAAATCATAATGAAAAAAAAAATTAATAACGCGAATAAAAATACAAATTTATCACTTCTAATTATTGTTCTAATTTCTACGTACAAAATAATTCTACAAAATAATGATATCACGTAGAATGCGGTATTAAATATGTTATTAAACTCCTCCAAAGAGAAAGAATTAGAAAAATGCTACGTTTCATTAAGAAACGACAATAAGGTAATATTTTACAGTACTGGTGAAAAAGTAAGACAATACGCAAACAAATATTTTCTGCCACGTTATTTTCTCGTTTCTATAGCTTCAATGTATCACAAGTGCATGTATTGTTGTCGATTATGGAACGTGCCAATGCGCATGCACGGAACGTTGCGACGATTATGCCAAGTTCACCTATGGAGATCATCGATCGCCACCATTGGCATCCTGAATATGTGTAATCACTTTGTTAACACTTCGAGCAATACAAGATCATGGATTGTACTATCTGTTGAAAATTAAATCTCTTTTACTTTTCTTGCCTATTATATACATAATTATGTAAATTTATGTGCATAGCAGATGCGTTATGACTTAATCAACTACTTTCTAAAATTACAAAATTTTTTTTAGAAAGTTTGATTGAATAACAAAAATCTTAAATATGTGTGTGTGTGTGTGTGTGTGTGTGTGTGTGTGTGTGTGTGTGTGTGTGTGTGTGTACATATACATCAATGTACAGCAAAATTATGTGTCCAAAGATTTTTGAAATTTTAAAAATAATTTACGTAGTAACATCAAAATGATCTAAAATTTGAATTTTTACACAGAAAGAGGAGATACAGAAATACATAATTCAACGGTATACAAAATAACAGGATTCCAAAATTCAAGATGATTAATTACGCTAATCAATTTAGAGAGAAACAAAGACAGTTTTTCAATAACGGGTAAATGATCGCGAATGACACTTAATTAGGGCGAACAATATACATGGTGGGATAGATTATCAAGGTTTATGAATAGATTCAGGTAAATCAATATACAGATTATTAATAGTACGCGCGCGGATTGTACAGTAACAAAAGTGTCGATATCGCGAATATTTTTGAAATCGACCTTTCAAACTTAATAGGATTAATTTTTAAAATAAATATTTATATACTGTTTTTCGTTTAATATTATATCACACACAGCACAATTCAATTATCTAGCTTTCCAAATGTTATTCCGAAGCTTTACAAATGCAGTTTTCTCTAATTCGCGATTAAACGTTGTTCAAATTTAATAAAAAAAAGAATATGAAAAATCATAATTTATATAAATACATAATACAAATGTGTATATATAAACTA